TCCCAGCACCTTGAACAGGGTCTGACATATAAAAGGCAATCAATAAATCTTTTCTGAGTGAATGAATTAATAAATGAATGATGTGAGAATAAATGGCATGGCTTTATAAGAATGCAATTTGGTAAATCTATCAAGAGTTTTAGTATATTTACTTTTATTGATCCCTCCAAATTACATGTTCATAAAGATATTTATCTCAATATTCTTTAAGAAGAAAAAAACTTAAGAAATCTAAATCAATGTCCCACTACAGAGAAAAGAACATTTCCGCCTCAAAGCCTCTGACTTCACTACTTGCTGTTCCAATCTTACTGTGGCTAAATCTTAATTAACTTTTATGCCGCTTCCTTATTATAATCTCTTATTATTTTCTTCATATTACAATTTGTCTATTAATTTATTTTTATTTAAATCCATTTCTCCTACTAGCTCCATTCGAGCAAAGGCCATGTCTATTTTGCTCAAAATACATACCTTATCCAAGAATTGTAATGAATAAATGAACATTTTTACGTTCTCACAGTTCATGGCATCAAGTCAATCTATGTGTAAAACTGGCCGAAAAAAAAAATCAAGAGTGTAAGCAAGAGAGGGTGGGAGGAAGACGCAAGAGGAAGGAGATATGGGGATATACGTTTATGTATAGCTGATTCACTCTGTTATAGAGCAGAAACTAACACACCATTGTAAAGGAATTATACTCCAATAAAGATGTTAAAAAAAAAAGAGAGAGAATGTAAGCAAGATATTTTAAAATAACTGAAGTCCCGACCAGGGACTTCCCTAGTAGTCCAGTGGTTAAAATTCCTCGCTCCCAATGCAGGGGGCCCGGGTTCGATCCCTGGTCTGGGAACTAGATCCCACATGCCGCAACTAAGAGCCCACATGCCGCAACTAAAGATCCTGCATGGGGCAGCGAAGATCCCGTGTGCTGCAACTAAGACCTGGCACAGCCAAATAAATAAATAAATATTTTTTTAAATAAATAAAATAAAATAACAAATAAATGCAAAGATAGCAAGAGCTAAAAGAACTATGGGAGTTAAGAAAGGAAGAATATACAACTACTGTTTTTTTCATATGACTCCCATGAAATTATTCAGTCTTTAGTCCATGCACATGTATAACTTTGACTTTTTTTTTTTTAATTAAGAATTTTAAGCAAGAGAGCCTATATTTACATTACCAAAAAGAAGCAATTTCACTGTTAGGCACAGGTGGGAAAAGGGCCTATTTATCCAGAATATCAACATCACAAATAATCATTCTTTCTTATGTTGCATCAGATGTGTTGAAAGAAGGGGCCTGACAGCTTGGGAAAGCTATGAAAGCTGGTGTTTTCCTGCAGCCATCTCATATACAAAGTGGTAGTGATTGGGCAGCAGAGAAATTACTTCTGCACAGTTCTGCTTCTGAGCTAACTCCACTTAACTATGTTCCTAGATATCATCTAAGCTTTGTTCATATTTGTGCACTTACATAAATAGACAATTTTTTTACATGTTTAGCCAGGATGTTTATTTTCTTAATCTGAGACTCACAGGTGGGACAGTTACATAAAATCAACAGAAGGGAACCCTGTGCACAAACTTGAAGAAAAAACTGAGCTGTAGTTTGGACAGGGTTTGATTTCTGCCCACCCGCACTTACTGAAAAGCAAATACAATTTATGGTCTGAGAAGATCCCTAAGAGCCAGGATTATTTCTACGTTGACCAACATAAGCTCCCCAGTGTCTAGCACATGGTAACACTTAAATGATTACTGAATAACTGACTAGTGATAAACAAGTTTCAGAAGGATTTAGTTAGAGTAATGGGTAACAGTCACACTAGTCTATAAAAGATGAATATATGAAGGTACTTTGTAACCTATTACAATGAAAACTAAAACTAACGTGCCATACTACTTGCATGGCATATCTTCTGCTATCACATAGGGGAAATAGAGCTCTTAGATCATGGGCTTTGAATCTGAAGTCAGAACTGGGTTTGAATTCCAATTCCACCTCTTATAAGTAGTGTGACCTCACCACCTGTAAAATAGGATAACTTCTCCCTCACAGTATACAACAGATGAGATAATGTGTATATAAAGTTCTCTGAACATAGTAAGAGCTCAATCAGCGCAACAGAAGGAGCTTATTTTTCCAAACTGCCTTCTAATTCTTGAACCAGTCCTCACAGGGCTATATTACTACAACAGTAAACAACTGTCTGGGACTTCCCTGGGGGTCCAGTGGTTAAGAATCCACCTTCCAATGCAGGGGACTCAGGTTCGATCCTTAGTCAGGGAACTAAGATCCCACATGTCACGGGGCAACTAAGCCTGCAGGCTCTGGAGCCCACGCACCACAACTACAGAGAAGACCGCGAGCCGCAACGAAAGATCCCGCATGCCACAATGAAGATCCCGCATGCCACAACTAAGACCCAATGCAGCCAAATAAATAAACAAATAAATAAAAACAACTGTTAGTCAATGAAAATTCCATGAAGAAAAGATTATTTAAATCTCTCAAAATACAATCTGGGCATAAAAATTACTGTAAAGAAGTAATTTCCTCATAAGACCTTTAAGTTACTCAGAACCAGACACAAATTAACTATTAAAAGTGATACCTCTAATTATAACCAAAGCAAGTGAGTAGCCTGAGTACCACCAAAGAAATGTGCTCAATCCAGTCAACATCCCTAATCCCACAAGGCCCAACCTTGTTAAAGCTGTAGCTTCCTCTTTGCCTTCAAGTCGGTCAACAGTGTAAAGAATCACAATGTAGTCTCTATTAATAAGAAAAAGTTAAATTTACAAAATCCTCTCCTCTTGAACACAACCTAGAAATATTTCTCTTGGTAGGAAAAAGCAAGCAAGCAAAGACTGCCACGTTTTTAAGTCCTTTGTCTATGCCTTTGGCGTGATACTTAAATTACAAACAACATTGCAGGGCCTTGAAAAAACGTCAACTACACATCCCCAAAGGCAAAAACACGAGGACACTCATTCCATGACATACTAACAGGATTCTTCTATCTCTGCAAAATGATGCCAATCTTTAAAAGTAAGAAATATAAAACCTAAAATCCTAAATACCTAATAATATGATATATAATTATTATAAGATTAGATGGAAGACCAAAGTTCATTATAAGTGATTTATCAAAGAATAAACAATATTTTTACTTAGAATATTAAAGAATTACGCAGTTCAATGTATTCATTACTTAAAAATCTTTTAGCCAAATTCTGCACTCAGGAACATCCTGAATTTCATTAAATTTGAGGTAATATATGTTTGCTTATAAATCCTTTAAGAAGTAACCATAATATGCAAAAGAATCAAAAAGAAAGGGAAAAAAATTCTAGCTGGGGGGCTTCCCTGGTGGCTCAGTGGTTGAGAGTCCGCCTGCCGATGCGGGGGACACGGGTTCGTGCCCCAGTCCGGGAAGATCCCACGTGCCACGTAGTGGCTGGGCCCGTGAGCCATGGCCGCTGGGCCTGTGCGTCCGGAGCCTGTGCTCTGCAACGGGAGAGGCCGCAACAGTGAGAGGCCTGTGTACCGCAAAAAGAATCACTGGCTAAGACGATGAAGTTACCCTTTAGAATAAGGTTTCAGCCTACCCCCTTCCAGACTTAGTTTAGGGTCTAGGAGTTCACCTATATCCTAGCCTCTTAATGATAGGCCGGAAAGTAAGACATTTAAGAAAAAAGAACTAAATCCAGAGTTGGTTGGTTGTCTTTAAACACAGAGACAGTTCTGGTAAAAAAAAAAAAAAAAAAAAATTCTAACTGAACCACCCACTAACAAGAGGCTTCAAACAACGTGGTAAATGCATCTATTAAAGGCACAAACTAAAATTCTATTGGCTCCAGGCCTCTAACTTCAAAAAAAAAAAACACAATAGAGGGTCCACCCGCCAACTCACCCCCCACCCCAAAATCTGGAGGAGAGACATGATATCTAGGCCATGCCAAAGAGAATATAACTAAGTACACGCCAAAATATGCAGTCCCTACTACACTTCACTGAGCTGTGATCCTACCAAGCCTCTTCCTCTTTTAGTACATTTTGTTTTTGGTCATCCCAAAGAGGAACATGTAGGATTGAAGAGGGAAACTGGGAATAGAATTTGGCAATTTAAAACATTTATTAAAATTATGACTTATCCTATATAGATACACAGACACAAAATAACCTTTGTTCAAATTCATGTATTACATCATTGTTTCTAATACCAGAAAGGGGGTGGGGGTGGGGGGGAATTTTAAGTTTTTCCAATAATAGGAAACAAGTTATGTAAATTAAGGAAAATCCAAAAAACAGAATTATAAGCAGTTATAAATTCCATAGAGAAGCTCTCTGAATACTGATTTATAAGTAAAAAACAGCAATGTACAGACTGAGCTGTATAATATGTTCCCTTCTGTTAAGGAAGGGCAGGATGGGAGAATTATATGTATATATGTTCTTATTAGCATAAAATATAGCTATAAGGAAAAGAAACATAACTAGAAATCCTAGAAAACTGGAAACTGCTCAAGATAAGGGAAATTGGGGACAGTGGTGGTAGGGAGTTTTGTTACCCACTTATACCTCCTGAATTTTATACCATGTGAATGTTTTAACTGATTCAAAACTTTTTTTTAAAATGATCACTATTTTTTGTAAAAGCCTTCTGTAAGCCTCTTTACTCTTCCGTAAAAATACAGGAAAAGATAATAATAACACCAACTAGGTAGAGTTACTATGATAAGAAATTAGATCTTCCATGTAAAGTGATTCCCACAATTGCTGGCCCACTTTACGAATCATTTACAACATCTTTAATTTCCCATTTTCCCCTTAGCCCTTGGGCCTAGTATGGGGTTCCACACACAGCGGTCTCTTAGCAATTGCTTGCAAAATAAATGGATGAGACCTTAGAGAAAATATTGCCAGGTTTCACACCAGCTAGCATGCTGAAAAGTATTATATTTCAGGGATTCAACCATCTTCATACTTACAGGGATGCTCCAGACTTGCATTCCATCACTGTAGCCAATCATAATCAGCAAAGGTGGCTCATTCCCTGTGCTATGTATTTCATGAAATTCCAGATTTCTTGATGTATCTACATTAGAATTAAGTAACAAAGGAGCAAATTAAAAAGACAACCCTCAGAATGGGAGAAAATATTTGCAAATGCAACAACAGACAAAGGATTAATCTCCAAAATATACAAACAGCTCATGGAGCTCAATATCAAAAAAACAAAAAATCCAATTAAAAAATGAGCAGAAGACCTAAATAGACATTTCACCAAGGAAGACATACAGATGGCCAAGAGGCACATGAAAAGATGCTCAACATCACTAATTATTAGAGAAATGCAAATCAAAACTACAATGAGGTATCACCTCATGCTGGTCAGAATGGCTATTATCAAAAAATCTAGAAACAATAAATGCTGGAAAGGGTGTGGTGAAAAGGGAACTCTCCTGCACTGCTGGTGGGAATGTAAACTGATACAACCACTATGGAAAACAGTATGGAGGTTCCTTAAAAAACTAAAAATAGAACTACCATATGACCCAGCAATCCCACTATTGGGCATATACCCTGAGAAAACCATAATTCAAAAAGAGACATGTACTACAATGTTCATTGCAGCACTATTTACAATAGCTGGGACATGGAACCAACCTAAATGTCCATCGACAGATGAATGGATACAAAGATGTGGCACATATATACAATGGAATATTACTCAGCCATAAAAAGAAACAAAACTGAGTTATTTGTAGTGAGCTGGATGGACCTAGAGTCTGTCATCCAGAGTGAAGTAAGTCAGAGAGAGAAAAACAAATACCATATGCTAACACATATATATGGAATCTTAAAAAAAAAAATGGTACTGATGAACCTAGTTGCAGGGCAGAATAAAGATGCAGACATAGAGAATGGACTTGAGGACATGGAGTGGGAGGGTGAAGCTGAGGCAAAGTAGGAGTAGCACTGACATATATACACTACCAAATGTAAAATCGCTAGTGGGAAACAGCAGCATAGCACAGGGAGATCAGCTCAGTGCCTTGCGATGACCTAGAGGGGTGGGATAGGGAGGGTGGGAGGGAGGTTCAAGAGGGAGGGGATATGGGGACAGATGTATGCATATGGCTGATTCACTTTGGTGTACAACAGAAACTAACACAGTATCGTGAAGTAATTATACTCCAATAAAGATCTATTAAAAAAAAAAAGACAATGCCAATCAGCAAAAACAAGTACACTTCTTTAATGTTACTGGCAGTAACAATTATTTAAATTGTTTTTCAATAAGAAGTTCTGAAGTATTTGGAAGACATTTAAAGGAAAGCAAACAGGAAGCTGAATCACAAAACTAGTTTTTTTAACAGTACCTATAATTATCAGCACAAGTAAGGTTTTAAAGATCAAACTCTCTCAGTAGAGTACAAGTACCAAATACCACCCCACTACACACAAAGAGTAGACTACAGAACCTAACACAGTGACAGCAGCACCCAGTAGGAAACTAGTGCCAGGTAAAAGCACAGAAGGAGAAGTGCCCAGCGGAAGCACACAACATAAACTGTGTGGGTTCACAAGTTGCATCTGGACACTCTGAGAAATAACAGGCAGAGGACAGGGAAGAGCAAGATGCGGAGAGGGTTTTGCAAACAGCTAGAGGTCTTGCATAAGTAGGTAGACACAAGAGTCTGTGAAATTTAGTACTGTTAATGTTCCTCAGTTTCCTCACCTGTAAAATGAAGGTAATCATACTCACATCTCAAAGGATTGTTTTAAGAGTTAAATGGGATAATATAAAAAACATTTAGAATAGTATCAGGCATAGGAAGCCCTATGTTGATGTTATTACTGTTGTTATAAAATCATGCTGAAGTAAAAAAAAGTAAAAATAAATAAAAATCAAACTCTCACTCGATACCTAGGAAATACTAATATCAGGAACAAAACCACCTGTAAATGATAAATGAAAATAAAATATTTCACCAAAGTTAACTAAATATAAATATGACATATAACCATTTGGAATTTCTAATATATGCAAATTTAGCAATGGAAGAAAAATTATATTCCTTTACATACAGGAATTAAATCCTGCTATATCTGAACACACTGGGCATATAGTTCACTATAAAAGAATTGTGCGGTTTTTGGTTTTGGGTTTTTTAATTTATTTTTGGCTGCGCTGGGTCTTCCTTGCTGCACGTGGGCTTTCTCTAGTTGCGGTGAGTGGGCCTATTCTTCATTGAGGTGCACAGGCTTCTCACTGCAGTGGCTTCTCTTGTTGCAGAGCATGGGCTCTAGGCACACAGGCTCAGTAATTGTGGCTTGCAGGCTTTAGAGAGCAGGCTCAGTAGTTGTGGCGCACGGGCTTAGTTGCCCCGCGGCATGTGGGATCTTCCCAGACCAGGGATAGAACCCATGTCCCCTGCATTGGCAGGTGGATTCTCAACCACTGAGCCACCAGGGAAGTCCGGATTATGTTTCCTATATTTAAGAATAGCAAGGAGGCAATGTGGTGGCGCTCTGTTAGGTTCTGTAGTCTACTCTTTGTGTGCAGTGGGTGGTACTTGGTACTTGTACTCTACTGAGAGAGTTTGATCTTTAAAACCTTACTTGTGCTGATAATTATAAGTACTGTTAAAAAAAAAATACTAGTTTTGTGATTTCAGCTTCCTGTTTGCTTTCCTTTAAATGTCTTCCAAATACTTCAGAACTTCTTATTGAAAAACAATTTTAAAAATTTCAAATAAATCAACACCAGGTAATTTTAGATGTAAGTGACAAAGGTAAAGTTAATAAAATACTAGAGGAACACCGTAGAAACATATTTTCATGATCACGGTACAGGGAACAACTTTACAACTGAACACAAAAAAACTCTTAGCATAAAAGATCGGCAAATTCTACATTAAATTTATTACATTAAAATGAAGAACTTCTGTTACTCATGAGCCACCCTTACCAGAAGAGTGAAAAGCCAAGCCACAGCATGGGAGAAGAGACAACTATAACCCCACAAAGATTCATCTAATACATAGAACAAACATCAATATGAAAAAGATAAGTCAGTAGAAAAATAGGCAGGAGACATGGAGAAACACTTCAAAAATAGGATAGCCAAATCATCAGTGAACATGAAAAGTGGCTCAACCTCGTATGTAATCAAGGAAGTGCTAATTAAAACCACAATGACAAAACCAAGTGGTGGCAGGATATGGAGTGAAGAGGCTGCTTATTTATTGCTAGTAACTGTAAATCAGTATAATCACTTTGGAAAACAGTTTGACAATATATACTCAAGTTGAAGATACCATGCCCTTGACCAAGTAGTTCCACTCTAGGTATATACTCATTAGAAGCCTCAGCACATATACATCAAGAGATAAGAATACTCACAGCAGCATTACTATAAAGACCCAAAAGCTGGAATCGATCCCAAGGTCCATCAAGAGGAGAATGGACAAGCACAGTGGTACACGGATACAATGGAAGACTATTCAGCACAGAAAAAAATGACCCACTACCATATACTATAACATGGATGAACCTCACAGACATAATATGCAAAAAGCGTAATATGCCAGACACAAAAGCCTATATACCGAACAATTCTATTTATATGAAATTCAAAATCACTAGGCAATTAGGTAGCAACATTCCATTTCTTACCCTAGGTGATGTCTACATGGGTGTTGGATTTGTAAAAATTCATTCATTGATCCATATTTTTGTGTTATTTACCATGATATATTTGCACAATAAATAAGGTTTTTTAAAAATCATAAAGTAGCAATATCCCTCCCCCTTTATTTGACTTCATTTCCTCTCCTTCTAGAAGCTAAATTCCTCATCTATTTATAACTGTCATCTGTTTTTCATCTCTCATTCACCCCAAATCCATTTCAGAATGTGTTTCTGCCCCTAACACTCCTCCCAAGTGACTTTTGCTACGGTCACCAATAACCTCCAAGTTGTTAAATCCAATATGTTTTTCAAGCACGTCTTGTTAAGATTATTCAGCAGCTATAACCGATGCTCACCATTTTCTCTGCTGGCTCATCCATTTCTAACTACTCTTTAAATATTGGAGTTACTCAAAGCAAATTCCTAAACTCTGTTTTCTTCTCACAGTATACGCTCCCCAAGTGATCTCATTCCAACTACTGCTTCAGTCAGTATCTGCTAGTGACTTCCTCAGTGTGGGTTTTTGCATGTCTCAGTAGAAGATCAAATTCCACTCAAAGATCAGGATTTCCTCCCCAAACCTGATCTTCCAGAGCTCCCTATTTTGGTGAATAGCATGTTTATCTATGCAGATAGCAAGATCAGGAACCGCCTTCTTCCTTCCCTCTAGCAATAAATCTATGACCAAGCTCCTAAACAGCTCTCTTACATCACCACCACCCCTGTCTACAACATCTACTGCAAAAGCCTGAGTGGCTTCCTGCCTCCACCACTGCCTACCAAACTCCATGTTTCAGTCAGAGTGCTCTTTTTAAAATACAAATAATGGGGAATTCCCTGGTGGCCCAGTGCTTAGGACTCCGTGCTCTCACTGCCAAGGGCCTGGGGTTTGATCCCTGGTCGGGGAACTAAAATCCCAAAACAAACAAACAGAAAAACAAAAAAAGGGACTTCCCTGGTGGCGCAGTGGTTAAGAATCCGCCTGCCAATGCAGGGCACATGGGTTCAAGCCCTTGTCTGGGAAGATCCCACATGCCACGGAGCAACTAAGCCCGTGCAGCACAACTACTGAGCCTGAGCTCTACAGCCAGGGAGCCACAACTACTGAGCCCGCATGCCACAACTGCTGAAGCCTGTGTACCTAGAGCCCGCGCTCCACAACAAGCGAAGCCAGCGCAATGAGAAACCAGCGCACCGCAACGAAGGTAGAAGACTTCTAAATTGTTTTGCCAAAAAAACTCCCAGTCTAGCAAAGAGAAGCCTAAATACCTAATACAATCTCTGGGTACCCATAACTGCTCTACAAAGAAGCAGCCTGCTAAGCTAATGTGGCTGCAATCAGAAGAATCCCCTCCACTGTCCCCCTTAGGATATCATGAAAGACACCGCAACGAAGAGAGCCTGTGCGCAGCAACGAAGACCCAACGCAGCCAAAAATTAATTAATTAATTAAAAATAAATAAATACATAAATAACCTGCTTTGGCTACTTCTTATACCTTTTTCAGTACAGTGCCTTAAGAAACACAAGCTTAGGTATAAATCAGGCTGCCTGAAAGCAAAAACAGAACAATGACCATGATACAAAGGGCCTTAGTCTCACTTTCTAATAAACTCCAAAAGTAGTAGTCTCTACCTAACACCAAGCCAAAGTTAGTACATTGATTAGGAATGCAGATACCTAGAAGGATCCAAGACTGGAGAATCTCAATAAGCCAGGTTCCTTAGAAGTGTCTCCTGTAAAAGTTGTTACCTACTCCACCCCCAAGCACAACAAGCCCATAATCAAATGGGCTGCAGCCTGGAGGTAAGGGGCCAACTGGCACCACTTTATAATTTCAAGCAGAAAAGCAGAGCTCTCAGGCCTGCTGGAATAAACAGAAAGCAATCACCAGAGCAGAGTTCAATTTGAACACTGCAAGTTTTAAATTACTAGCAATAGAGTTTCATTAATACGATAAAATAACTTAAATCTATAGACAGGTAGAAGACTTCTAAATTGTTTTGCCAGAAAAACTCCCAGTCTAGCAAAGAGAAGCCTAAATACCTAATACAATCTCTGGGTACCCATAACTGCTCTACAAAGAAGCAGCCTGCTAAGCTAATATGGCTGCAATCAGAAGAATCCCCTCTACTGTCTCCCTTAGGATATCATGAAAGACAAAGGCAATGAACAAGGAATTGCATCCCAGCTGCAGCAGGCACAACCAAGGAAAGGCAGACTGGCTGATCAAGAATCTCTAATGCAATGGAAAAGTTAGTCCTTGTTAGCGTTCTTCAAGGAGATGTTGGATTTGCAGCCAATGAACCCTACTTTTTCTTTCCCACAGCCAAATTTTCTTTCAATTATAAATATCTCAGAAAGTCTGCCACACAAACACCTAAACAAAACATTCCTGAAGAAAGAACACAAATAAGAGACAAATTCAAGAAATGTTCTAAGAGGGACTTCCCTGGAGGTCCAATGGTTAAGACTCGATGCTCCCAACGCAAGGGGCACAGGTTCGATCCCTGGTCGGGGAACTAAGATCCCACATGCCACACCACATGACCAAAAGAAAAAGGAAATGTTATCAGAGATTGGGGAAGTTAAGGAGGATCAAATATCTTGGTAATATTTACTATTGCCTTAAAACAAACACAACCATACACATACACATGCACACATGCACACACACACCCTAGGGCTAGAGATAATAAAAAGTATACCCTTGAAATACCAGGACAAAATTTCATACACTATCAATATTATATAGAAAGGAGAGACCAAAGGACACGTGAGTGTGCTAAAGTATTTAACAGGAAGATGTATAAACTTAAAAGTTTAATAAGTCAATGGGGATATGGGATACTAAATTAAGGACAACCATTATAAGTTCAACAGAACACAAAGTACCAAATAAGCAGTTTCCATCTACATTTCCAGATGCAGATGCATTTTACTTCAATAAAGCAAATGCTTTATAGAGCATTATTACACCAGCAATTCTTATTTGTTGTTTAAAAACAAAACAAAAAAACCTTGCCTAAAGATTATTTTAATGACATTTTTTAAAGATAACTTTGTGGGGTTTTTTTTTTTTGGCCACGCTGCATGGCTTATGGGATTTTAGTTCCCTAACCAGGGATTGAACCCAGGCCCTCAGCAGTGAGAGTGCAGAGTCCTAACCACTGGACTGCCAGGAAATTCCCCAATTTTGTGATTTTTAAATTATTTTTAACATTTTGCATACACTGTACAAGTTTTTGCTATTATCTGGCTAATATTTTCAAGACCATAACCACATTTTCTTTGTTATTAAATCAAGAAAGTCCTCTAATACATTCTGACATCCACAAAGCAAATATACTTCCAGGAGGGAAAAGAGTATGAATTCATGAGGAAACGGTGATAGAAAACAAAAGATGACCAACACTTAAATAGTTATTAATAAAGAAGGAAAAGGAAGAAAGAAAAGAAGAATATACTAGTAAACAGGGAAATTCGACAGTCATAAAAAGAAAGGAAATTTTAAATAGAATAAGCTTTCAAAGAGAAACAGTGTAGGAAAAGTTTATATATCATAAATAATCACCAATACAAATGAATGTGTTATTCTCCACAGAGGGCACAAGTTGTCATTTGAACAAACCAGCTGACAGAGAATCCAAAATTCAAAAGAAACCTATTTGCAGAAGTGACACAGCCTCCCGCATCCTGGACTGTAGCTTTTAAAGGAAAATATGGTATTTTAAAAGTCTCAGAGGAGACTAAGACTCAAGAGTATGGTATCCATCAAGGTCAGAAAACAACTCAGTGTATTCATAATTGGGAATTTAATACAGACAACTCGTTACACAGATTACAGAATTGCTAAGAAGCCAAAAAAGGAACTGTGAGGCAACCTACTGGATTAGCAATGGCAGGCAGCCATTACCACCCCTACACTGGGAAGGCAGGGAGGAGGGCAGGGCGCTAGAGTCACCTGGCAGAAACTGGAACCCCAGTGGAGCTGCTGAGGTGAAGTGAAAACCACAGAGGAAATGCAGCTGCTGACAGAGAGGGAGAGGGAATTATACTCTTCCCTTTCTCCCATCCTCCCTTTCAATTACCCACCAGTGCCTCCCAAACTCTGCCAGAGGAAAACAGACATGGCAGCCTGGGAAACAGACAAGAAGCAGCCCCCTTGCAAGAGGGAGCAGGAAGGAGCAATGAAATGGAAGGTATCTGAGAACAAACAGGCCTTGAATTGGCATACATTCTGCTCAGAAAAATAATTTTAAAGTCTAAAAAGTTCAACACTAATGATTATTTTGCAGTTATAAATCCTATACAAGTAACCAAACTGGAATTACAAGAACTTCTTTTCTAAGAAATTGTTATCTCACTTGGACTTGAAGTTTAAGGCTAGGCACTACATGTTACGGTGACTCTAAGACTTGTACAACACAATATTAGTTCTAATCAAGTTTATGTAGTTGAATATGTTACTTTTTAAATTAAAAATAAATTTATTTTGAAAACTTAAAAAGTCACTTAAAGAAAAAGTAATCTGACGAAAAGTAAGGGTTCTTTTTTTGGAATCAGGTCAACCTCAAACAAACATTTAATTCATATGCCCCCCAAAAGTTAAAACCATACCATTTAAATCTGCATTTTCAAATCTGACCCAGACTATTTTCTCCTTTTCTTCTGTTAGAGGTGTTCCACTGTAAGCCTGTAGAGTAAACAGAAACACGTGAATGAAAATGTTTTACAGCTCAAATATTACTGATGTTCAAAACAAAAAGTAAGTTAAATAAGGCCAACACTATCCCCCTCCAACCTCACCAATCCTACATCTTGAGAACTAGCACATTTTGTAATATTTTTATTTTTAAAGAAAGTTACCCAGGAGTCTGATAAGCTTGGTCAGAAAAGGGTTTTTAGCCTAAGAATTACAGAAACCTAAAATACAATAATCATAGTCTACTAGGAAGCATCACTCTAATTCAAAGGTACTCAAAAAACTAATCTATACTGGTCAACAAATAAAGCTGAAGAAATACACCAAACTACCACACAGATCAATTTAGTTCCCAGGTGTTTATGATCAGGCAATTACACTCTACCTAGAATTGTCAAGAGCATTACTTTCTGCTAACCACCAGTTCCGGGTGGAGGGCATGGCCAGGGTTGGGGGGTAGAAAAAAAACGTATTACTTTTTCAGTCTCTTATCTGGCCTCTGGACCCAAACTATTAGCTTTCTTGCAAGCCTGCAAGGGTCACAAAGATAAGCATGAACTGCTGTGAAGTCACAGGAAAAGTATCAACGGTATCCATCAATATTCAAAGGGAGTCATCTCTCCTCAAATCAAATGTTTTTATTTAAAATTGTCTAGATTTTCTAGATTGTATACACTTGCAAGCACTTAGAATGTCAACAAAAAGCTGCAACGTTTTCAGTTATAAAGTGGTCTTCAGTTCACAGAACAATTATTTAATATAAGCTGGATCAAAAGCATTCAAAAACCACTATCCCATATATAATCTGTGTTATACACAACTTGCTTTAAATTTCCATGCAGTTTTACAGCCCTTTTCCTCTACCGCACAAGGTTAATGGCCACTGAAAATATTACTAAGACAGGGTTACTCTAATAGTAGGTTTACTATGCAAAAAGAAAAAAAAAGTTATCTTACACATCCTTATGATTTCAATTGTTTAAAAAAACAAGTTGTGTATAGGGCAGTTAATTCCTTTGGAGAAAAGGAAAACCTGCACTAGAACCAACTAATTCATCTACTTTATCTTCAACCATCTCATCCTCAACTTCTTCCTCTTCTCCCTTGGTCTTGCTCTCTTCATTCTTGAAAATTCTCCTTTTTTTTTTTTGCGGTACGCGGGCCTCTCACTGTTGTGACCTCTCCCGTTGCGGAGCACAGGCTCCGGACGCGCAGGCTCAGCAGCCATGGCTCACGGGCCCCGCCGCTCCGCGGCATGTGGGACCCTCCCAGACCGGGGCACGAAGCCGTGTCCCCTGCATCGGCAGGCGGACTCTCAACCACTGCGCCACCAGGGAAGCCTGAAAATTCTCCTTTTTAATATAAACTTCTTATTTGGGAATAATTTTAGATTACTAAACAGTACAGAATTCTCATATACTCCTCAGCCAGTTTCCCCTACTGTTAACAATCTAACCTAACCAAATCTTACCCTACCATGGTACATTTGCCAAAGCTATGAGACTAACGCCAGTGCATTACCACTAATTAAAGCCCCAGACTTTATTTGGGTTTCAGCAGTTTTTCCACTAATGTCCTTTCTCTGCTACGGAACCCAATCCAGGATACCACATTGCATTTAGGACCACCTCTTTTTTCCTATGTCAGGCTCTCCCTTAATCTGGTAAAGCTATAACATATACAATATCTTCTTCCATTTAGCAGATTTATTATCAGGCTGCTAATCACCTGCATTACTCGACATTCTCCCAATTCCTCTGCAACATTTGCACGGTGCTCTCCTTTGATTTCTGGCCGATATGCAACATGAAACAAGGTTAAAAGAGGCCTTTCAGTGAATTGAGATTCTTAAACTTTTTTCTTTCCCCTTCAGGGGGAAACAAAACTTTCATAATGAGGCCTGCATACTTTTGCTTTGTCTTCAAGTTTTCCTCTCTCCTTAGCAGACACAGTGTTCTTTACTAAGCATTTTTTTAAAAATTCTGTGAAGTTGACTTAAGAGGGTTGCTTCTTGTGTGCCCTCCTGCAGATTGGCATCAAGAAGGCATATGACAGCATGTCATTTTGCCTCTCAGCTTTCTATGATATCCTTTGCTCATGTTTAGGTATTTTACTGTCAGTGAAGCACAGACTCACCCAGTGCCCATCCAGGTTTATTTGCTATCTTACTGGAGGTCAGTGCGCTGCCACACAAAAGTTTGTTATTTCTCCCCCCAGCACTGATTTTTAGCCCTCCTTCTCCAACCAAGATCCAACTGCTCTAGCTCTCTTATTTACAGTTGAAACTTTCACCCCATTACTGAGTACAGGATTTATTTCTCCTTTTATTTCCTATCTGGTTTCTAATGCATATACACGTTCATAAGCACAAAGTTACTGTTCAATTTTAAAAAACACAGCAACAATCACTATAGATATGTTGTGTTTTATTTTTTCACTGGAGAGAAAGTAACTTCCATTGTGTGCTATTTGTCAAAAGTATAATTTTTAATCACAGCAAATTATTCTATAGGGGCAACATATGACAATTTGCTTGACTGCTACTGACATTTGGGCAGGCTACAATTTTTCACACTGAAAAATGTCAAAATTTCTCACTGAAATGAAAAGGTCTGAGCTTTAACTTTTTATTTGCTGAATTTTTTTAAATAAATTTTCAGAAGTACAACTATTATATCAAATGGCACAGTTAGGGCTTCTACCTGCTGTCAATGACATCTGCGTCAATGACACAGTAGGAACTCACTCTATTTATGACAGCTGAAGAAGCTGATACCATTCTAACAACACATTTTCTCCCTTATCTGGAGACCCAGAGAATAATTTCTAAGCTCCATGAATTTGATAATTCCCAGAATAGGGCAGGAGTTGGAACATTACATCAGCAAAAATATATCATTTCCCAAATATCTGACTACAAATTGCCAATGGGGGATTACGGATTAAATGTGGAAAAAAGGAGACCATCGGTCACCAAATCTGGCCACGACCTGTGTTCGTAAATAAAGTTTTATTTTAACTCAGCCACACCCTTTCTTTTACATAAAAAGCAGTGCTGCGCAGTTACAACAAACTCTGTATGAGGGACTTCCCTGGTAGCGCCGTGGTTAAGAATCCGCCTGCCAATGCACGGGACACAGGTTCAAGCCCTGGTCCAGGAAGATTCCACATGCCACGGAACAACTAAGCCCGTGAACCACAACTACTGAGCCTGCACTCCGGAGCCCACGAGCCACAACTACTGAGCCCACGTGCCACAACTACTGAAGCCGGCGTGCCTAGAGCCCATGCTCCACAACAAGAGAAACCACTGCAATAAGAAGCCCACGCACTGCAACAAAGAGTAGCCCCTGCTTGCTGCAAATAAAGCCCGCGCACAGCAACAAAGACCCCACGCAGCCAAAAATAAAAATTAAAAAGCAGGGCTTCCTTGGTGGCGCAGTGGTTGAGAGTCCACCTGCCGGTGCAGGGGACACAGGTTCGTGCCCCGCTCCGGGAAGATCCCACATGCTGCGAAGCGGCTAGGCCCGTGAGCCACAGCCACTGAGCCTGCACATCCGGAGCCTGTGCTCCGCAACGGGAGAGGCCACAACAGTGAGAGGCCCGCGTACCGCAAAAAAAAAAAAAAAAAAAAAAAATTAAAAAGCAAAAAATAACATTGTATGAATTGCAAAGCTTCTCTGGCCCTTTACAGGAAGAGTCTGCCTGACAGCTACACTAGACCATGAAGCCTTAAGGACAGGCACTGAGTATTCCCCAACTTAACACAGCACCTGACCAGTAGTGCCTGAAGTTTTGCTTTCTTTCCACAGTCACTAGAATAATGACTTACCTAACATAAATTTCTTAAATGAATATTCTAATTCTTAGATCCGGGACTACAACTATACTTCTGAAGTGACTTAACTCTGATCCCAGTCTTCACAGTCAACTGCATAGATTATCCCCTTTCTAATGTATAATCCTCATAAAAACTAAGTTAACCTTCCACCTTCTGGCATTTTTACCCTATCAGTTTTAGCAGCCCCCTATTTTCAATCTATTGCTCAACCTAGTATTCTTGTTTCTCTAGCAAACTCTCCAACTATTCCCTCAAAGCCTCTGACCGCAGCCTCTCTCCTCCAGCCAACAAAAACTGCTTGCTACGCAGGGTTTCCACTAGCACAAAAGGTGCCTTTGTAAAAATCTGATAAAGGGGCACTCTATAGCAGGCAAATTACCAATATTTTTAAATGCCCCTTCCTTGGAACTAGCCTCACTTCAAGGCTCAGGGCTTAAGAGAAAGGTGCAGTTTGTAGAAGACCAAGTTGGATTTCGGCCCCTGATTGTTCTTTAAGCCTGTACTGTACAGAGTACAAGATTCTCCACAGCCACAGCAATGCTGCTGCCTACCATATCCAGTTGGGCAGTTTCCTTTACCATCAGATTCCCAACCTTGCCATTCATTTCAACTAACGCTACTTCCAATGTCCTTTGGAACTTGACTCTTTCATGCTTTCTTTGCTATGCATTCCCTTAGCAATTACATATTCAGTCTGTACTATCATGTGCAACACTTAGTGATATGTTGCTATTACCTCTGACTGCTTCAAGCCATTTGACTTCCGTTCTTAACCAAGTTCCTCAAGAAAAGAAAGCATTTATTTTTCCTTACATGCCCCACAGACCTTGTCATTGTGGCCTACTTTCATTAAAGTCGACCGAACATAATAAAGAAATACCAAATATGCCTTGATACTTTCCCTTATTTGATGAATACAATTTATTAATACAACTGAAATCTGGATTTTAGACTTTTCTAGGTAGGACCTTCTCAAAAAGCTGGGACACTGGATCTATGAATGGTTTTTTTTTTTTTTTTTTTGCGGTACACGGGCCTCTCACTGCTGTGGCCTCTCCCGTTGCGGAGCACAGGCTCCGGATGCACAGGCTCAGCGGCCATGGCTCACGGGCCTAGCCGCTCCGCGGCATGTGGGATCTTCCCAGAGCGGGGCACGAACCCGTGTCCCCTGCACCGGCAGGCGGACTCTCAACCACTGCGCCACCAAGGGAAGCCCTGAATGTTCTTTTTGAACAGTGCAATTACAGATACCACAGCAGTCTGAACACTGACATCATCACAGGAGAAAACACAGAAACCTTTCCCTTCAGTAGTTCCACTAAACAGTGTTTCCCAAAGATACTCTTTCACAAGAATCACCTGAGATTCTTCCTAGAGACAAAAGTTACTGGATGCCACCTTAATTCCCCTGAGTCAAACTCACTGGGAGATGGGCCTGGAAATTATTATTTTTAACAAGTGTGCCAAGTGACACCTATGTTAATTTAAGTCTGGGAGAAGGTGCACTAGAGGTGATCCCAGGAGGGTTCCTCTCATTCTTTATTCTCACATTTACATAGAGGGAACAGTAAAGGGCTTACTCTCTTATAAGTTAGAGTAACAAGGCAAGCTATAATTGGCATAAAACTACTGCTCAATAGGAAGGTGATATAGATTTGACCTCAGTGTAGTATTTAGTTAATACAGTATCTAGTTAACCAAATGCAAAGCATATATTGCTTATTTCACTTCCAACAGGCAACATTTAACTAGGACAAGAGAAAGATTTTGGAAAGAGAACCCAAATAGACAGTTCCAAGCCCCATCTCTCAGCTAATATCGCACCTTCATTACTCTTAGTAAAGCAAGGGCTAAGGAATGATAATTATGCCACCGTCAGCACAAAACTAAGGCACGTCTAATAATAACAGCAAGTATGATTCTACCCTACCAATGCTTGGGATGCTAAAACATCAAAAGTCTTTCTAAAGTTGGCGATACTGGTGCCAAGTTTAGGGAACAGAATATTTCAGAGCTTCCCTGGCCAAGAGTAAAGCCTACTATTTCTGAAACCACACAGACACTTACCTGGGGCACAACATCCTGCAGAAAAGTCACGACACTTTCCATGTAGGACTGCTCCCTGAAAAAGGGTGAAATGGATAAAATTTATCATGACAGCTTAATATGAAACATGGAAAAGCTCTTTCTACAAGCCCTAATAAGGTTATTCATAATACTAAAAAAAAGAAAAAACAACTCTCATCGTCTGATAATTCTGCTAACCTGCTTTCTTAATTTCTTTGTATATGTTATTAAATGCAAATGAGATTTTAAAATTTTTAAACTTTATCTTTTCTGTTTTTTTTTTTTTGGCCGCACCATGGGGCTTGTGGGATCTTAGTTCCCCAACCAGGGATTGAACCCCCGGCCCCTGCAGTGGAAGCGCGGAGTCCTAACCACTGGACCGCCAAGGAATTCCCAAACATTATCTCTTCTTAAAAGTCATGCTCCATTTTTTTTTTTTAGGGATTTCCCTGGTGGCGCAGTGGTTAAGAATCCGCCTGCCAATGCAGGGGACAAGGGTTTGAACCCTGGTCTGGGAAGATCCCACACGCCGCAGAGTAACTAAGCCCGTGCGCCAAAACTACTGAGCCTGCGCTCTACAGCCCACGAGCCACAACTACTGAAGCCTGCACGCCTAGAGCCCGTGCTCCAAAACCAGAGAAGCCACTGCTGAGAAGCACGCGCACCGCAACGAAGAGTATTCCCCACTCGCTGCAACTAGAGAAAAGCCCGTGCGCAGCAATGAAGACCCAACGCAGCCAAAAATAAATTTAAATTTTTAAAAGTAAAATAAAAATAAATAAAAAGTCAAGCTACATTTTTTTTAATTGAAGTACAGTTGATTTCCATTATTGTGTTAGTTTCAGGTGTACAGCAAAGTAATTCAGTTATACATTTTTTTCGATTCTTTTCCATTATAGGTTATTACCAGATATTAAATATAGTTCCCTGTGCTATACAGTAAATCCATGTTGTTTATGTATTTTATATATAGTAGTGTGTCTCTGTTAATACCATACTCCTAATTTATCCCTCCCTGTCTCTCTCCCCTTTGGTAACCATAAGTTTGTTTTCCATGTCTGTGACTCTGCTTCTGTTTTGAAATATAAAAGTTCATTTGTATTATTCTTTAGATTCCACGTATAAGTGATATCATATGACATTTGTCTTTCGCTGCCTGGCTTACTTCACTCAGTATGATAATCTCTAGGTCCATCCATGTTAGTGCAAATAGCAATATTTGATTCTTTTTTATGGCTGCACGCTCTCTTACTTTGATACAGATAGAACTTTTAACTCATATTTGAAGGAGTGCTGACAGAAGACTTGGCTAAAGCAAGACCGTCCTCTTGAGTCAGGGCAGAAGAATGCCCTAGTTAGAGCAAGAAAAACTGTTGCTGATGACTCAGTATTTAGTGACCTTCTCTTTAAACTGGTTAAGAACCTAGTCCCTTACCTGTATCTAGCAAAATGAATCTATATTTTGCTGCAGATGCAGGCATTAGAAGGAGTTATTAAACAGTCCTCACAGAACTTTTGGTGTGGATAAGGTATGGGAAAATACCAAAATGCATAAAGGTGAAGAACTATTAAGGACACTAAGATATTTTAAACGGGAAATATATGGAGATCAGCAAATGGAGGAAAAAAATTTTTCTTCAAAATATATACCAAATCAAATTCATTTCAGAGAAATGTAAAAAATTACATTTGAAGAAAATAATGTGAGTTACCCTAAATCCTATTTTTTTAAAAGGCAATATGCCTTAGATACCTACAAAAACTGAGTAGGCCTTAAAATAAAAATTTGATTAGGCCTACCTCTCCAACCTCACTTTTCTCCCACTCTCTTAACTTACTCTGCTTCAGTCACATGCAACTTCAATTCTTAGACTACACTAAGCTCTTCTTTGAATCAAGACCTTTACACCAGCTTTTTTTCTGCATGGATCCCTTCGCAAATTCTTCCCTGCCTTTTAGATCTCCAGCCTAAGTGTTACCTCCTCAGAGAGGCCTTCCCTGACTGCCTTAAATCATACTCCCTAATGCTGTTCTCTACCATAGCACACCAGGCACTGATCAGAGCCTGTAATTACTTACTGTGTCCTCCACTAGAATGCAAACTCTATTACAGAAAGGAATCCATCTCTCATATTTACCTTATATCTCCAGAATCTATAAGCCAGTGCTTAGCCACAGAGTAGATGCTCAAGCATTACTTGTTAAAAGAATACTGAATAAATTAAAGAACTTCAAAAAACACTAAAATTATGTATTACATAACAAAAAGCAATATATGTGGAATACCATATGGTGAGGCAGCACAGAATAGTGTGCATAAGCACACAGACTCTGGAGACAAACTGCCTGAGTTTGATCCAGGTTTCCCTTCTTGGATGTTACCAAGGAAAATTTCTCTCTCTTTGCTTTGGTTTCCTCATCTGCAAAATGAAGATTACAACAGTACCTAACTCATAGCTAATAATATGCTTAGCCTGTTGCCATGGTCCACAGTTAGCAAAGAAATATATAGCCCTGGGAAATGCAGGAGGGAAAAAAAAGCAAGTATAATGGTGAAATATCATACTATACATATATTTTTTGTTAGTCTGAGAAGGCAATTTTATGTAACAGGCTAAACTGCTCAAGGGAAATAATTCAAAATGCTACAATTCCCTTATTAACACTTTGAAAGACAGAAAGCAAACTTTATCTCCTTAGCCAGGTATTCAAGGGTCTTAACTGTCCACCCCAACCTCCTTTAAATAGGTCAACTTCCCTAGATTTCATTTATGAAAATAGCTTGCCTTTCCCACCTCTGCTTACTCCATTGCCTTTGCCGAAAATGTGCCCTTGATTCTAATTGCCCAAATTGTATTCAGCCGTTAAAGTACACTATAAATGTCAGCTTTTACAAAACTTATGTATTTATTTATTTATTTTTGGCTTCATTGGGTCTTTGTTGCTATGTGCAGGCTTTCTCTAGTTGCGGCGAGTGGGGGTTACTCTTCATTGTGGTGCGTGGGCTTCTCGTTTTGGTGGCTTCTCTTGTTGCAGAGCACGGGCTCTAGGCACGCAGACTTCAATATATGTGGCTCACAGGCTCTGGAGCGCAGGCTCAGTAGCTGTGGCGAACGGGCTCAGTTGCTCCACGGCATGTGGGATCTTACTGGACCAGGGATCGAACCCACGTCCCCTGCATTGGCGCCACCAGGGAAGTCCAAATGTTAGCTTCTTAATGAAACCTTTTCAGATCTAAAATAATCCCACTAAAATATTCCCTCCAATCAAAATTTTAAGAAAATAATAAGGACTTCCCTGGTGGCGCAGTGGTTAAGAATCCGCCTGCCAATGCAGGGAACATGGGTTCGAGCCCTGGTCTGGGAAGGTCCCACATGCCGTGGAGCAACTAAGCCCGTGAACCACAACTACCAAGCCCGCATGCCACAACTACTGAAGCCTGCGCGCCTAGAGCCCATGCTCCGCAACAGAGAAGCCACGCAATGAGAAGCCCGCGCACCACAACGAAGAGTAGCTCCCGCTCACCACTAGAGAAAGCCTGCACACAGCAAAGAAGACCCAACGCAGCCATAAATAAATAAAATTTTTAAATAAATAAATAATTTAAAAACACAAAATATTCCCTCTAAATTCCCATGCTGTTTTGCTGGCATCTTTTTTATTCATTAGAGTGCTTGCAAGTATACACAGCTTAAAACTACATTAGGGACTTCCCTGGTGGTCCAGTGGTTAAGAATCCGCCTTCCAATGCAGGAGACGCCAGTTCGATCCCTGGTCAGGGAACTGAGATCCCACATGCCGTGGGGCAACTAAGCCCGTGTGCACTCTAGAGCCCGCAGGCCACAGCTAGAGAGAAGCCCCCAGGCCACAACAAAGATCCCACGTGCCACAATTAAGACCCGACGCAGCCAAAGAAAAAAAGAAAAAAAAATACATTAGATTATAAGGTACTGCAAAGTATAGCCATGCTTTGTCCAAAAAATGCTTAAAATATAGAAATGTACTCTTTATGACATTCACTTTGAAACTTTCTGACTGAGACCTAGAGTGATACATCACAATCTAGTAAACATATACATACATATGAATGCATATTATCTATGTGCGTGTCAGAACACAATACTAACTCCCAACTATATTTTCTACTATATTCTATTTCATTTTTTGAATGGTCCTGATCCACTAAACTGATTTAATGACACTAATTGTTAAACCTGAGGTTTGAAAAAGCAGTACTCAAGGATAAAATACAGTGTTTTTCAAGTACTCTATAAATGTGCTAAATACATCAAACTGACGCTCCAATTATTGCTTCTATTTGGCCTTGGCAACGATGTTTATCATCCTGTAAAGCCAAAATTAAACAGATTTTACAAAAGTAAGTACTGCTTAGAAAGGAAACCTAAATGTTAGTTACTATGCTGAGTAATCTTTCCTTTACCTATCAGGCTTATCTGAAATTTGCTTACGTGACAGCCTGAGGGCGAACCACGATTCCACCAGTACAACGACTGGGTCTTCTGGGGGAATCTGTAGCCATTGCTTCATTCACAAAACCTGTTTCCAGAACAAAAAGACAGAAAATAATGGATCATTACTGTCGGGGGTCGGGAGAAAGATACATGGTTGCTCACTAGAGATCCCTTGTCACAAATACCTAAATGTTAGGTCCTAAAATGTAGGAAAATTTCCCAGCAATTCCTATTACACCTAAAAGAGGGGAAGTAGATAAAAGATTTTTCAAACTACTATGAGGTTTTCTTATTTGGACCAAGGCTCAGAACCACAAAACTAGTTAAGACCCTTGCAGGACCCTCTGAACTACTGCTTTTTTATTGTTTTTGTTTGTTTGTTTTATTTATTTTTGGCTGCGTTGGGTCTTCGTTGCTGCACTCGGGCTTTCTCTAGTTGTGGCGAGCAGGGGCTACTCTTCACTACGGTGCACAGGCCTCTCATTGCGGTGGCTTCTCTTCTCCGTGCTCCGCAGAGCACGGGCTCTAGGTGCGTGGGCTTCAGTAGTTGTGGCACGCGGGCTCAGTAGTTGTGGCTTGCGGGATCTAGAACATAGGCCCAGTAATTGTGCAGCACGGGCTTAGTTGCTCCGCAGCATGTGGGATCTTCCCGGACCAGGGCTCGAACCTGTGTCCCCTGCATTGGCAGGTGGATTCTTAACCACTGCACCACCAAGGAAGTCCCTGATCTACTATTAATATAAAGTAGGAAGGGATGGAAAGTCTAGCACAGGATCACTTTATAAAAACAAATATGCTAACTTTGTGAGCCAAAATTAAAGAATTTACTGAAATCTTATATTGAGATAATAAAAATATACATGGTATAATATTTTAAGACAAAATGGAACAGTGAGGTACTACCTTCCAACTAAGAGTGTTGGGAAAATAGGAGTAAAATGGCCTACGTATCCTGATGGATGTTAACTAGTCTTATTGTGGTGATATTTTGCAGTATATACAAATATCGAATCATTATGTTGTACACCTGAAACTCATGTAATTTATATGTCAAATATATATATATATTTTTTAAAAAGACTGCACAGTCACAATTTAACAAGACTATCAAAATCATATTTGTAACCTAATTTGTAATCATATTTGTAACCTCTGCTATTGTAACCTAATCACCAGAATCTAAATAAGTAATAAAAACGTATATGACATTAGAAGCCCTTCCAGTCTCATCACTGAATCCTGATCCTTGAATGTCTAATAAGCATCTGAATCACTGGGGAGGTTTTAAAAGCATGGACTGTATGTGGTTAAGGTTAAAAGAGACAGCAATACTAAAGATCTCTTACACGGCTCAGGAAAGCCCACAGCCTGGAACTAATCCTGAAAGCCCCTAAAACCATCTCTTCTAAGCAGGGAGCATTCTATCACCTTATTTGAAAACTCGCAAACTGATGAGTCCCATCTGCTACAACCAAAACACCCTGTGCCCCAACTAGCCCAGGTACCCCTTCCTCAGTGGGTATCTTCACCTCCAGCTCCTGAGCCCTCTCATTTCCATTCCACCCTTTATTTCTCGAAACACAGGCTCCCAAGAACTGTCTTTAAGGGCCCTGTCTCCTGAGGACGACCCTCGCCAGCCCCTCAGGCCCCACTCTCCTGAAAGACATCAGCACGGCGTTACCCATTTCACCTCCAACGCTGAGCCACCGCTGTCCCCGGCCGCCCTCTGGCCCCTTGCCCTCCCTCCCCTCCCCCTCCTATCTCCACAGCTCTACCTCGTCGAATTCCTACCAGCAAGCCCTCTCCCCTCACGCTGCTCGTCACACGTCCTCGCCAAGCCTCCTCAAAGCCGCAGTACCGCCAGCCCTCTCACCGGCCGCGCCGCCGGTAAACGCTGCTCTCCAGCTCAAGACTCACTGTTTGGAGTCTCCCCTCGTGATTGACGGTTACCACTTCCTACCACGCCTCAGCGGAACTACCTTTCTAGCCAATCCCAGAAGAAAACTGGCCGCGGCTGGGCACCGCCCTTAGAGGTCAACTTCGCCAACCAGCAAGTAGCAAAGAGGCGGACCCGCCTCCTGAAGTGATCCAATCCGCTGGGGCTCGAGGGAAAACACAACAGTACGTGAGTTCGGGTGAAGCCGGGGTGTAAGGTTCGGTTGCGAACGCAGGCAGGTAGGGAGGAGTTACAAACATGTCTGTTTTCTTTTGCACACAGCACCTTCGTGGCCTTGTCAAAAAGCATCATGCCGCACAAGCCTGTGCACGTCACTTGGGTGTCTCAGGCTGGGAGTCGTACCTCACGGGGACCGGTCTGTTTACATCTAATTCTCGCGACAGCTGGTTCGAAGCTCAACGCACGTGGACATGGCAGCTGCCAATCACTTTTAGCTGGCCAGTCAGCCATCCCGAACGCGCCTTCTGCCCCGCCCTTTTCAATGTGTTTACCTTCCGGGAGCCTAGGCTGGCTGACGCTGATGGGCTGCCCTGCAGCCAGGGTGGTGATCTGAATGACGGGTACGGCTTGTATTGTTTTCAATTTGACCTAGGTTTGTGGACCACACCTGACTCCTTCCTAACTGTTTACACTTCCCGTAAGGAACATATTGAGATCGCCCTGGTGTCATTCCGTCGGTTACATATCTTATATAATAATATTTATTGTTCTATTGAAGGAACGCTCAACATAGACTTAAGCACTTCATAAGTACTATCAAATTTAATACTCTTGACAATCCCATGAAAATATGGCTTATTAATAGGCATGGGGTTTGTAACAAAGTGGCTGATACAGCAGTAAAAACTTTTAAAAGGTTTTACCACTGTGAAGGAGGGAAAAGTTCAGTAGAGAAAATACCTCACTAGAAATATGCAGTTAATCAGGTGCTGGACAGATAGATGATATAGATGTAGATATAGATATAGCCAAGAAACCACCCGTTTGCTTGTGATGCTCAATTAGTGTCAATACAAAGGACACCCAAAGTAATATTTATCAGGCTAATGTTTGGACATTCATGTTCTTTCACTACACAAATTCCCAGCACTGTCGTCCTTTTAACATTTGCTTCCTACATTAAACCCAGTAATGAAAGAATCTTTCCAGTATTACGAATTCCCTTTGTTCTTATTGCTATCACTGGCTTACTTCCTTGTTGTCTTTGACATGTTTTTTGGTTATTTCCCTAATACATGTCTCATTTTCTCCCACTGGAAAGTTAAACTCCTCCTAGGCATTAATAGACTAAGGCTTTCATGTTGTTGAATCCCCCTTTATACCTAACTACCCTGAACACAACAGATATTTCAAAATTCAGACTTACCTGAATTAAATAATTATTACTCTCATGTTGTCCCTGACCCAGAGCAGGAATAAAGAGAAAATCCAGAGGAGACCAATAGGTAATACTCACAAGTGGGATAACCAGCATTTGTATAAGGTTTTTCAGTTTAAATAGCTGTTTTAGGGCTTCCCTGTTGGCGCAGTGGTTGAGAGTCCGCGTGCCGATGCAGGGGACACGGGTTCGTGCCCCGGTTAGGGAGGATCCCACATGCCGCGGAGCTGCTGGGCCCGTGAGCCATGGCCGCTGAGCCTGCGCGTCCGGAGCCTGTGCTCCGCAATGGGAGAGGCCACAACAGTGAGAGGCCTGCGTACCGCAA